TATGGAGCCTAATAGGTATGAGTCGTCCACTTGTTTTTAATAAACAAAGGCTCTCAACCAATACTCTTGCTAGGTTAACAAATTACGAGTTAAAAGCCAACATTGGCGATAAAGGGAAACAACCGGTACCCGCCGCTTGTTTTCCTACTTAATTCCCTGGCTACTAGGTAATTCTATTTACTTGGTCAAATTGAATAAAGAGTTCGAACACCAATTGATTAAATGGCCGACTGATCATCTATCCTGGACACAGACAACCAGTCGTCCAGGGGCATAGGCGGCATACTTACTATTTGTACCTGTCTTAACGTTCGGCCATACACAACAGTCGGTCTAGTGAGCAAATTCAAAATACTTAGACAAATTTGAACCAAAACAAAAAATTTGATTAAAAATGAGCCGGCCATTAAAGACCAGCAGAATATTCAAAACCCCGGCCCCCTGGCCGGGTAATTACAAAGCAAACGGCACGCAGGCCGTGAAAAGAAAAAATACTTAAAGCTTAAGAAGGGGGCAGTTCAGTATCAGCAGCTGCCGCCTGGTCAGCACTCTTCTTGCTGGACTCGGCCTTAGCTGCACCATCTTTTGATGCCTTACCCCAAGTGGCACAAGCGCCACAACCGGCTCTTCCTCCTCCAACGCACCGTCCAACGCCTCTTCTTCAGCAGCCGCCAGGATCTGTTGATTATATATTTCCGAACACTGGCGGTACGTTCTTTCCCATGAGGCAAAGTCGGCACTGGGGAACAGTCGTTCCCAGGTCATGCGTTGGATTTGAGCGGAGTCTTCCACCATCTCCCGGACGAGCTCTTGTTTCTCTTGCTCGGCCTTATCCGAGAGCTCTTGGGTAAGACTCTTCTCTTGGTTCACCAGGCGTTCTTTTACGTTAGCCAAAGATTTCTCCATGGCTTCGTAAGAGTGCATTTTTTGGCGAAGAGGTTTTAGCTCGGCTTTAAGGTTGGTGACGGTCGCCTCCAGCTCGTCAACCTTCTTTTGGGCCGCCTCTAACTGAGCCCGAACAGCGGCGGTCGCCTGCGCCTGATAATAAAGAAGATCAATGGTCAGTACTTCATTTTGGGCAATTTGAAACATTGCCTTATCACAGCAGGAGGCGGCCATAGCTTTTGCGGCCTTTACCTCTTTGTTTTTCCGATCAATCGGCTTGCGAAGGCTGTTGACTCGGAGCAGGGCCTAAGTACAAAGAAAAACAGGCGTCAGTTTCCAATCAAAAGAGTTAACAGGCGTCCTGGAACTCAAAAGCTCAAAAAAGTGCTAAGTATACCTCAGCTAGGACCCCTGAAATTCCATCAAGGTCAAGGGTGCCGGCACCCCTGACCGCCTCCCTGTCAGATGGAGGAACTACTTTAACCATAGACTTGGCTACCTCAACCAAGTCAAGTCCCTGGGGGCCGGCTGCATTAAGCGAAAAGGAAAAAAAACAAGTTAGACCTAGTCAAGAAGGAAGCAAGGGTGAGTTTTTACAAGTGAGAGTCCATACATCTAGGCGGCCCCGCCTGGGTTTTTGAAGAAGTGGCCGGCTGCTTCTCAGCCGCCACTGTTTTCCTGGAAGACCCAGGAGAGCTTGCAACAGTCGTCCTCCGGGCCTTGGGGTCCGGCTGTTGCGAGGAGGAAGCCCTTGGAGTACCAGACTGAAAACAAAAAGAGTTAGTATATGCATAAGACAACTAAAAGAGGAAGAGTTTTCGAGTTTACCAAGGGTGCCTCTTTGTTGGGGGAGTCGGCATACGACTGCTTCATGAGCGAGGCCCGCAACATGGCCGCCGCAGTCTTGGATGCTGTTATTTTACTCATGGCGTCAGCTGCAAGAAATAAACAGCAAAGTTAGTAAAACTCCCAAGTACACAAGGCGTGAAAAAACAGAGTATTTGACAGGCCGGCTACCTCTAGAGCACCGACTGCCGAGGCCACAGGCGGCCAAAAAGTACTCGTCATAGAGCCACTTGAAGCTCGGGACGCAGTTTAGGGGTACTTGCTCTCGTACCCCTGAAGTAGAGTTCACCCTAGTCTCTACTTTGAAGAGTCCTTTGTCTAGGATCTCTTTTTTAGCCTTTGGGGGAACAGGCGGCATGCTGCGGCCGCCTGCGAGAAGAGGCGGATCCCTATTCCACTTGTTAAAGCGTTTGTTCAGCTCCGTGTCTGAACCCTCGATAATAAGGAAGGTGTTCCGCCAATCCTTCCATTTGTTCGCCTTACCTCTCGTCATGAGGTAACCCCTATGGCTTGTTAGTTGGTACCAGCCGGTACCTCTCGACTTAGGGGTCCGGCTGAGATAGTTCATGTGGGCGAAAGCCTCAAAACTTGGCTCCACCCCGTACATTTCGCACCCGGCCACATAGCCGAGTACGTTTACCCAAGAGTTGGGGGCTAACTGCCATAACCCCAGATCATACCCATCTAAAATCCGCTGAACAGCCGGATGTAATGGGAAGCGCAGTCCAGCTTTGATGGCCGCCACATAGCAGCCAAAGCAGCCGTCACCATAGCTGGTGTCAGCCGGCCAGACGACAGTGTCTTCTGGATCCGGCACGAACAGTATAAATTCCGGGCCCATTTTGTGGTTAGCAATAAAGCTCGCCACGTTGTCTTGCATGGTTGCAATCCGGCCCCGGGGTACCCTGCAGTAGTAGGGGGCGTTTTCCTCTCTGTAAGAGGCGGACGGCTCTGCCCAATTATCCCCCTTCTCAACTGCATGAGAAAGTCTCGCCTCTTGTAGGCGGCTATGTTTTTCTTCTGAGCCTGGAGAACTGTGTCCAGAAGAGCTGGACTCAGACTCGTCCTCTGACGAGTCCGAGGAGGACGACTCCTCCCCTCTCCTAGAGGGGCCCGCCTCCTCTCCCTTAGAAGGAGCAGAAGGAAAATTAGACATGTCAACGGTAAGATGGGAAGGGAACACCTTGGCCCCTCTCTCTGAACTGTCGGCTTGACAGTCGCCTCGTTCTACATCTGGCGCCTGGTCAGATGTTTCACTAAGGAGCACCCTTTGGGAGGAGCCGTCTGAGTTTGATATCATAGCAGTCTGTTTCGTTCTGGCCATCACGTTCTGCATAGACACAGATACAGTCGGACTTTGTATAAAGGGCAAAGATGGGTCCAGAAAAGGGCAGGCGGCACTCCTAGTCCTAGATTCAGCCGTCCCCGGTGACCGGCTGATCACTAACTTAGGTCGTGTCGTGTGCTTCCATGGTGCCATTTCAAAAAATAAAAAGAAAATTAAGAGTAAGAGAACTGAGTTACCTGAACGAGTGACGGTTGATGAAGTCCTGGAAGTTCGGGTCAGTCGGCTTGTCAGAACAGGCGGTAGGCAGAAAAAGTCCGAAATGTCAGAGCAAGTTCAGGGGTCCGAATGTTCTCGCAAAGTTCTCAAATGTGAAAATGACCGAAGTCAGCACTTCCTTATATAGGCAAGGTGAGAAGGCGGAAGGTCGCTTCCAAATTCAAAATTTGGGCGGGAAAATCTCTCGGCCGTTTGCAAGGTGACACCTGTAACAGGCCGTCGCCTGTCACCGTGCGACACCTGTCACAGGCGACACGTGACCAGTCACGTGCCACCTGTGAGGGGCAAATGATTAGGGGATTTTTATCCACCAATCACCGTCTGACAAGTGGACCAACCAGGTTCCGCCACGTGTCCTTCACGAAGGACAACAGGAGCCTGCCACGTGTCAATCACAGATACGTCCTCTACGGACCACTTTAGACACGCCACGTGTCCACCCATGCCAAATGGGAAAACCGGCCATCAAGGCCCAATCCAGTCTAGAGGCCCGATCAGCCCTGGGTTTACCTTAAACCTAGAGAGTTGCACGCTTCTCAAGGTTATAAATACTCAATTAATCCTCATTAATCACAGGATCGAATAATCAAGAGATCAAGCAGAGAAGAACAGAGTTATTAACAACCGGCCAATCTCGCTAACGACGCAGATTACCAACACTAAGCACTCTCACCTAGAGAGATCTCATTACTTTAATTTCTGTATTGTTTACTCCTTAATCAGGTACTAACTTGACCGTTGGAGGCGGAGCTCTCAGGAGTCTCCGTTATTTTGCAGGTACAGGCGTCCGGTTCCAGTCTCGGAATTGTAACTCTCCCGCAGGACATCAGAAAACCCCGAAACAGTATGTTTACATGTCTGCGTATATTTTACATTATTGATATCATTTCATAACAATTATTTTATGGGATATATCCTATGCAACTTTGAGAAATTGGCATCAACAACACCAACAATGTAGACAATGGTGGTGTTAGTACCTTTTGTCGTAGTTAGTGTTATTTTACTATTAACTTATTAAGAATAATCAAAGGTGATATTGGGTGTACCTAAATCATACTTCCTCCATTCTTTATTACTTGATCCATTTTGACTTTTAGACTATTCACCACATTTCTTTTAACCGTCTTTTGTGAATAATATGTAAGGAAAAATATATTCATATATGATTTTTTGGATTCGTCTCAATAAGTACTATCATAATATATAACTTTTATAATATTTACTTATGAAGAATTTAAATTATTGATCGTTAAAGTTTTTCATTAACAAGCGTGATAAAAGAAACAGATTAAGTAAAAAAAACAGAGAAAGTATATAGTTTATGCTGTACGTTACACCAATTTTGCCTTTTTACATATGGGCATACTATCTTTTTTTCATAGTCGCCCGTACAAAAGTTGCATCGCCAATAAATCTTGTGATACTTGATTAGGAAATACAGACATTAGGTAGAGAGAGACCCACCAATCAAAAGTCCACTTAATAGTTAATACTAGATAATCTTCAACAAAACAATAAATTAACAATACAATTGCATGACTTACCATTGACCCCTTAATCAATGCATAGTTTTGAAAAGTCAAGTAATACCACAGTTAAATAATGCCTCCTCCCACGCTAGCTTAGTTTTATCTTTACATCATAATCAAAATAAACCGATTACGCAACAGTCCAAATTACACCCTGATTGGAAATATTGATATAAAATTATAAAGCATCATGATCTTCTTTACTGTATGAAATATAATATATGTATCAGTCCATGCTTAATTATATCAAGTATATGTTATACAGCAATTCGATGCATGTTACATGAACATGTCTAATACAGAGAAAGTTTAATCTTATATTTTGTAGCAAATGAAACAACATAACTACCAGCAGTTTAGTTTATTACAACATTTTTTTTAATAGGGAAGCTCATATATAGTTCGTGTGCTCGACTACAATCCATCGTTATTCCGTAGATCATTCGCTTCTATCAGCAGGATCATCAAGTTGTGTTCCTGAATCAAAACAAACTTACAAAAATGAACGACTGCACAAATTATATAGTAAAGTTACAAATGGATGGACTTATATATAAAACTTAAAAACAAATTAATATTTCCTCTGTTTTTTTATTAGATGTATCACTTTTAAATAATAGAACTTTCAATTTAGATGCATCACTTTTCCTTTTAATTAATACATTAAAGGTCTTACTATAGACTGATGAGATCTCTAATCAAACTATTAACGAAATCAAATCCAAAGTAAAACCAAGATTACTAGCTAGTAAATCAGATCATATACGAAATTTTAGTATCTTCGTTTACCTGTTAGTGAAATTGGTGCTGAATTAGTAGCTGCTGTAGATGGGAGAAACGGCAAGGGCTTAACCTCTTCACTTGCAGAATACTTGTTACTGAACGCAAGAGTAGTCTTATATTGAGCCATACAACTACTGTATGTAACATCTCCACTTAAACTACCGCGAAGACTCAGTAGCTTCTGTCTCGCGCTTGTCAAGCACTTGTAACAATCACTAGCCAACAAGTCCGGCGTACACTGGACCATCGCGTGAAACGAATCAAACCTTGTATACTTGACAACTTTTGAAGCAAATTTTCTTCCGTTTACAACATTCGAGGCTTGGATGGCCAAGGCCTCCATCGTATTCCTTAGAATTTTCATGAAATGAATACGATGCCTACCCTCGATTTTATGATTGTCCCAAGAGGCCGTTGACATCCCTGTATCCAACTTGCCAAGAAACGACTCATTCGAGAATCTTATCATACAAAGGTCATACCAAATTAAACCCTCTCTTACATAAAAGGAGTTTTCGAAGTTATAGTTTTTAGCAGAATTGATACAACTATAGCAAACTTGGGGATCGACAACATCACCTCGACAAAGGTATAGGACATGTAGCTGATTGGGAGTTCCGGGGAAGGTAGTACTAAAGTTATAAAACCCGGTACTTAAGGTTTGGGATGTTAAGGTTGCTAGGAGATTTTGAAGGTTGTTTTTTCCACAATTATCGATCGTTCCAATTCCGGATGCATGTGCAAAGACAAAGGAATGATTCGAGGTTGATAAAACGCATTCAAGGCGTAGGAAGATGATAAATATTAATGGAAATATCATCATATTGGTGTTTTGAAGGTGTGGGATGAAGGTGATAAATAACAATGACTACTAGCATGGCTTTTATTGATTAAGTGATAAATTAAGTCAACATCAAGCGTTTTTATTTTTCCTAAAATTAGGGACCCATATTGTTTTGGTGGATACAGGGTGACCAATTAAAATCGATTATTTAGCAAGCCCACTATATTGAATATTACATGAGTTGACTTCAAAGTCACGAGGAACCCTCATAGAAACCCCTATTACTCTCTCCGTCCCCGAATGATAGTCACTTTTGGGTGAAAAAGGAGAAATAAATAAAAGTACATGGGAATTAAAATCCAATCATGTGCAAAACAAAAAGAAGAGAGAGAAACTGATTGTCATTAAAAAGGGAGACAACTCATTCAATTAAGGAACAAGTACAAAGGCAAATATGAGGGTATTTTGGGAAGCACAGATAATACAACCAAAAAAAATGAGGGTATATAGGTCATTTTGTAAGATTGTATGGGATCTAAAATTGTGAAATGTGACTTACATTTTGGGTGTCCAAAAATGAAAATAGTGACTATCATTCGGTGACGGAGGCAGTATTTTTTAATCTTTTATATCTCTTTAGAGATGTATTTTTTCAAACCGAGAGGAAAGCGCTAAGATCGCTAATCCCCTCTAGAGAATACCATAATAAGATTAAATTTTGGTTAATTTTTAAAAACCACCCAAAAATGTATCCTTTTTAAAATAACCACCCGTTAAATTTATATTTTTATTTTACCACCTCTTAAATTCAAAAAACTACTCAAATTACCAACTATTTCAAAATTTCGGTGGATTTCTCTTATGTGGGCCCCACCTAACGACTCTTAGTGGTAATAGGAAGAAGATGATTAGTAGTAGTGGCAATTTAGATAACAAGCTCTTGATTTTTTTTCATTTGTTTTCTTTTGATTTTAGGTTGCCTTATACTTAATAAACTGGTTTAAAGGGGAGGTGGAGTGAAGACATGGTTGATTATAATGCTTAAACATAACCGTTACTAGCCATTGGGTAGGTCCACATACCAGAAATCCACCAAAATTTTACAATGGGTGGTAATCTGAGTAGTTTTTTTAATTTAAGAGGTGGTAAAATAAATAAATAAATAAATTAACGGGTGATTATTTTAAAAATGAATACATTTTTGAGTGGTAATTTAAAAATTCTCCTTAAAATTTCAATAATGTTAATAAATGGGTGAGAAAGAGTTCTAATCATGTCCCGTTAAATTTTTTTTGCTCACATTTCGAAATTTGACTTGGTTATTTTCGACGTTGGATCCTCCAGGTCACATGACTTTTTTTATTTATTATTTTTTTTTTATTTACTAATTTCACCCCTTTTCTTCCAATTTTCCTCTAATCACTATTTATTATCAAACATTGATAAAAATTGTATCAGTAAACAAAAGAAATATATTAGTCAACAAATGAAAAGTATCAACCAACAAAAGGAACATATCAAACATATTAGCTAACAAATGAAGCATATCAGCCAACAAAATGATGAATTAGCAAACAAAAGCAACATATAAGCCAACAAAATAAGCATATCAACTAACAAAATGAAACATATACTCCATCCGTTTTCAAACACTAGTTCAAATTCTTTATTTGGAAAGTTTTTACAATATTTTATAAATTTCTCTCACCAATTGAGCCCAACAATATTAATTCCATATTCTCTCTCCTACAATTCTCTCTACTACTTTTGTTTTTTTTTTTTTTAAATTCTTCTACCAACCCCATACTTTATCACTTTCTCCAATTTCTCCTAAAACTCCACGCATGGAGAAATGGATCAAGTATTTAAAAACGGATGGAGTATAAACTAACAAAAGATACATATCTGTCAACAAAAAAAACATATCAGCCAATTAAAGCAACATATTAATCAACTGATACCTGATAGCAGCCAACAAACGGAACATATAAAAAAGTACATGTCAATCACCAAAAGAAATATATATTAGCCAATACAAAAAATATATTATCCAACAAATGAAACATATTAGCTAACAAATAAACATATCAGCCAAATCTGCCGCACATAATCATACATACAGAAATCCGTACACAATACCTTCTCAGTTCCAATGACCTATGACTTCTTTAAATAAATTGCGTTTTTTACCACCTATCCATATATTTGACTATTAATGCATTTCTACTTCGTATTACATATGAAGTACATGATAAATTTATAAAAACTTGATATTTTAAAATTGAAAATTAAAAATTAAAATAAATTTCATAAAATCTCACATAATATTGTTGTGACATTTATGTGACAATGAGAATTTACAATCATATTTGCATTTGTAAGATTTAATAAAAAACTAGTTTTTGGTCATTTTGTATATTAAAAATTATAACAAAATAATGTGAAATATATCATTTTTTTTGCAAAATAATATGATTTTATAAAAATAATACGAAGCATCACTCTTTAAATTTTGTAGATATGATTGAACATCAAAATGCATGATTTAATATGCAGTAATCTAAATGTTATATTGTATCAGTTTGTTTTAATTGTTAAAGAGATTTTTTTATTAATCAGCTGTCACAATAAATTTCTTCGATTAAATAAATTTTGTGGTAAAAAAAAACTTGTAAAATTATTATGCATTTTTGGGTTATATATTTAAATTAACATAAATATGAATTATGGTTGAGTAACCGAAAGAAATGTAAAAAAAAAGTTGTAATCATCTAATTTCCTCAAAAAAAAAATGTTATTGTTAAAATATCCACATATAAGTTCACAATTATAATTGTAGAATTTATAAACATAAATAAATCTTTTTAGGGTAATGTTGTATGTAGCCATAACATCCATGTATAAGCATTAAATGCACTTTTGGAAATTATATAAAATTAGGAATTTATGACAAAAATACGCGTGAATCAGTGTAATTAGTGTCTATATTTTTATGATCACTTTAATTCTCTTATCTAACGCCCCAAGGACGCTCATTAGCTTTTGCCTTTTACGATTACTTAACTTTTACTATTTTCAAGTGTAAATTTAATGTTTATATGTATATCTAAGGGCTATGTATAACATTTTCTTTCTTTTTAATACAACTTTATTATCATATTAGATGTGTCATTGGAGTGGTGGTCAAAGTTCAATTTTAATGAATACAAAGTTATGGCTTATGCCTCATGGGTTCAAATATTAATGCTAACAAATAATAAATTTTTACGAAGAAAAATTGGTAATTAATAACAGTAGTGACATGCATCAATAATTTAATACCAATAATACTTTGCATCTTGTATTCTCGGAAAAAAGTAGTCAATTTAGTTATAATTATATGGGGCAAAACAAACTACAACATCATGGCTTCAAAAAAAAAAAAAAAAAAAAAAAAAAAAAAAAAAAAAAACTACATCATTGATTTGACAACAATATCGACCATTCAGGAAGCAACTGAAAACTTTACCAAATACTTGTATAAGTAAACCATTGCTTTTAGAACACTTATGTAACCGAAAATTTTAGACACTCTTTCATCATACTTGCTCCATATATACTTCCATGCATCAGCTGCCTACGGCAGCGCAACTATGGTCATGTTGATATCCTTAACCTTATTACTTGTGTTTCAACTTGTTATTCCAAGTTCCCAAGCTTTTGATTACTTCACCAACTGCACAGGTAGTTCTAATTACACCCAAAACAGTCAGTACCAAAAAAACCTCGGTAATCTCTTAGCCGAGTTAACTGCCAAAGCTTCGCTTTCTGGTTTTTATTACACATCTGTAGGTCAGATCCCTGATAAAGTTTATGGCCTTTACCTATGCCGGGGTGGCATTGGTAGTCAAGGTTGCGGCCAATGCGCATACGTAGCTCAAGGTAGTATCCTCAAAGAATGTCCGATCCAGATATGGGCTGTTCTATGGTATGATAATTGCATGCTTCGTTTCTCTAATGAGTCATTTTATCATCAGATGGATGATTACCCAAGTAACGTGGCATGGAACCCTGAAAACATTACTAGTAACGAGACTCAAGCATTTTCTAAGGTGCTTAACAATACCATGATGGATATGACACCAGAAATTGTGAACAGCAAGGTGAAATTTGGTACCAAAATGGCTAGCATCACAGGCTCAAAGAAGTTATATACCTTGGGGCAGTGCACGCTAGACTTGTCAGCAGATGACTGTGGTCGGTGCTTGAAAATTGCGATTGGGAAGCTTCCAATGATGCTTGGAGGGAGAGCTTTGCTACCAAGCTGCAATGTAAGATTTGAAGTCAGTCCGTTTTATGGAAATACAGTTAACACATCATTTTTGCTATCTGCGATCATCAATTCAACATCAACCGTTACAAGAGGTATAAAATTATGCAAGTACTTTTTGTTAGCTTGTAGTGGCAATTTCATAGACTTCATATGTTAGAATGGATTTTTAATGAGAGGATTAACAGTTAATCACTATCATTCGTGTACATAACCTATCACTCAACTAAGCACAGTTGTCTAGTTTTGCACCATTAGTTTCAAGTGTCATACTGACCCTGTGATGCAAATATCTTACAAGTTAATATAAAGGACTAAATATGTACTCCACTCTTCATTGCCAATTTGCCATTCAAGGTTATGAATAAGACTTTAGGAAGCATCACTTATTGCATAAAAAGAGACGAGTAATAGCGCATTGATACTTTAAATGAACAAATAATAGTGTATCTAAAATCAAAGTAACATATCAAGGGCAGACCTACATGATCCTGTACTGAGCAGTTACAACCCCTGTTTTTTTTTAAGATGGTCAAGTAAAATTGAATTAATTCTTGAATGAGAATGAAATGTTCTTTCCAGGAAATGAGTCAGATTAATTTTCTCATTAGGGAACTAGTATTTGTTTGTCCATGTACACTTAATTTCACAAAAGGGATGAAAACAACACAACTTTGATTAAAGGATAGGACAACTCAAAAAGTCAGGTCGAGAAACAAAGTCAAAACAGAGCAGAACAGAGGAATAGTTCAGCAGTGACTTTTTGTAGGGAAAATTTACAGAAAA